TATATATATATATATATAGAATTTATTACCTCATACAAATATCAATAACAAATATTCAAAAAAATATCACTTCAACGTGTAAAACTTGCATCGCAGAGCCAATGATTGTATTCAATTACATACAAGTCCTATTAAAAAACATACGTATTATATAAAAAAATAATATCGCGGTAGATCGATAAGATAAGTATTTACCCAGATAATCATCCATCAATGTTCCAATAGCAAACTAAAAAACATAACATCAATGTAACGCACAACGTAAATAAAAATAAAATTACACGTTACAAATACTAACAATTCCTGTTGCATCGACTCTTGTACCAACAATTTTCAATCTTATTTCATCATCCGGTTGAATAATCACATCCTGCAATTTATGAATATAATTTCCAAGTTTTTTAACGCGTCTTTTAAAAACCTACCTCTTCTTTAGACTTGTAACACGGAGGATTTATGTTTGGACAAAACTGCATATCCGCTGGGATCGACTGTAAGAAGTAGCAGCGTAACAAATTGCAAAGAACAATCTCAGAATTACAATACAGATAAAAATAATCTCACATGATGCGATATAAAACACGAAAGTGGTCCTATTTCGGCAAACATTCCAACCTAAAAAGGAGAGAAACAACGTATAATCTTTCAAATCATACCGTCGTATAAATTCAAAACTATACTTAACATTTACCTTATTAACTTGCGTCACTATAGCATCTAATACTTCTCCTTTAAACGGTCTAAATACAATAGCCTTATATTTAACCGGATATACGACAAAACCTTGTCCCGGCTGTATGATTCCTGCACCAATATTGTCTATCGTCGTTACAGCAACCACGAAGCCATATCTGAAATATAAAGATTTATCATATTTATTCAAATTAAATATATTATTTTAATTACGAACTTACTTTCCTGTACAAGTACCTTCTACCTCGGTATATAGTTTTTGTTTCACAGTATCTAACAATTGAGGTCCAAAGTATCTAGGATGTAATAAAATTTCATGTTCCAATGAAATCTGTAACAATTGGAATAAATTATACGTATAACAGTTCATTCAACACATTCGCTCACGTACCGTAGCACGTTTACTCACGTTCCCTGCTACGCGGCAGGTAAAAACTCATTTTGACAAATAATATTTTTCTCATTAAACAGGTAAATAACAATTGTCGATCGTCTTTACGTACTCCGTAACGATACTTGGAATACTTTTTAAGAATCGATCGACGATGGTATACGCGGCACGATATCGTCGACGGTAACGCGACCGAGTTGTCAGTCTTTTTTTTCACAAGTTCTTTCGTTTTGCTACGAAGAAAATATAAAGAATTTTAATGATAAAATTGCACGGGACGCTACAAAAAAAGGTAACAACATTTTACGATAATTATCCCAACAAACAAACCATTTTTTTCATTCCTCTCTTGCTTCAACGAAATACATCGTCACGCAAAACTACGAATAAAAAAACGTAAAAAATAAATATCATTCGTCGCATATTCTCTTATACGCACACTCTCGTCTTGCTATTTCATTTTTCTATCATCGTTGCATTTATTCAGCATCGAATAAATTTATCTCCATCTTACGTCGCGTAAATTATTCTTTCAATATTTGCAAACACCAACGAACAAATTTCCAGCACGTACACGACCAACAAATAAATTTCCAGTACGCAACCAATACGCAAACAAAAAAAGAAACGGATAAATTTTGCAGATTCATTAAACTTTGCGGCACGTGTTGTTCTCAGTGTACACAGAGCGTGGAAACGACACAATCAGACGCAAAAAGCAGCTTCACGTGCCAACGTTTTAACGTATCGTTCAACGTTCGTCAACGTTTATCGCTATATTTGTTTCATCGTTATTAACAAACTCAACAAATAAATTCAAGTACGTTAATAATAAACTTACATGATAAAACATGTTTCACGTCAAATCTTCAAATACTTGTAAATTAAACGTAATTAAACGTATCTTCCGTCGTGAAATATTTGTAATTTTCTCAAACGACATTTACTCTCGCTCAACCATTCCGTAAAAAAAAATTAACTTCCGATGAAAATTATTTCACTGAGAAAACCTCGGAGATAGAAACGTGGTCTTCGGAGACGACAACGTTTCTCTTCGTCGCCTGTGAACAACTTCTGATTCGTAAGTACAACCATAAACGACGAGGTACAAGAAAGACGCTCAACGATAAGAAAGACGTACTCGATGCAACTTCGATCGTCCATCCTATTTTTAAATCAATAATTCTATCTTTAGTCAGTATCAGGATAAATTAGACATTAATCGACAATATCATCGCACGTTCGATCTATTCCGATTAGTCGACGATCTTATATCTCGTACATTTCGGACAAAGATCGCCAAACGTTGCGCGCTCGAAATACCACGTAGCGACAGCTACGCCAGCGACATCCGTCTCTCGGCGATATCGCGCGAGAAACCATCTTGGACGAGAAAGTTTCGGCG